AATGATAACCGTTGACATCTATAGAGCATCTGCCCTGTCTGTACCAGGCATTGTGCTAGGTGCTTTGTGTGGGTTACTCAGAATACGTCTCTAAGACTGTTATAATGAGATACCTACCTATTTAAACACCCCTAACAGACAAGAGATGCAAGCAGAAAGCCAATTCTTTCTTTTAAATTTATCAGGTATAAAGCAAAATGGAAATGGAGGTCTAAAATCTCGGTGGGATCTGTCTTGTTCACTGAGACAGGCAGTGGCTGACTTTTGTGTGAGGTGCTTCGCTAAAGATCAGATGCCTAGAGCTGCTAAGAAGGATATCCGAAAATTTAAAAAAAAAAAAAAAAAAACAGAACCCAGACTGGCACAGTGGCTCATGCCTACAATCTCAGCACTTTGGGAGGCCAAGTTAGGCAGATGGCTTGAGGTCAGGCGTTTGAGACCAACCTGGCCAACATGGTGAAACCATGTCTCTACTAAAAGTACACAAATTAGCCAGGTGTGGTGGCAGCTTCTCAGGAGACTGAGGGAAGAGATCAGGAGGTGGAGGTTGTAGTGAGCCAAGATCACACCACTGCATTCCAACCTGGGTGACAGAGCAAGACTCTGTCTTAAAAAATAAAAAAAAAGAAAAATGAAAACGAACACACGAAAAACTCTAGAGCCCATCCAAATAATCCTACTTGCCCCCAGAGAATGGCTCCTTGCCAGATTGATGAAGATTCAGTATCAGCACTCATCAAGAAAGCAGGAATGATCTTGCTACAGATGAGAAGCTACAGAAAGTATTAGTGGGGCATTCACAAACTTAGAAATCTAAAGGACTCCAGTAACCAGGATCTAAAAGGATGTGATGTGACCTTAGATCAAATGTCAGCGTCTCCACTAGCCTACGGGGTTCTTAGGGTCTAAGACCTTACTTTAAAAAAAAATCTACCCCCAGGACATAGCATATTTCTAGAACCTGTAATATAAGAAGCATTTCATGAATACTTGATGAGGAACAGTAGTACCTAATCTCCCCTGGAACATAGCTGTTCCACTTACTAGGGTATGCTTGTAAAATCAGAGCTTTCTAAAGTGTGGTCTGGAGACCCCTAGTGGTTGTCTGCAGTTCACGTAAGGGCAAAATCTTAAGGATGACAGATTAGCAAAGAGCCAAATACCAGGACACAGGTTAAGGCCTGAGATGAGTGAAACAAGTGGGTGCTACAGTAGAGGAATAAACTAGAGAAGTTTAAAAATGAAAGCCTTTTTAAAAGTATCTAAATTATAAGATAAAAATTCAATCTTTTTCATCCCAACAAACTGATGCCAAAAGAAAAAAAAGGCTATAATTTTACCTGAATTGCATACATATGAAGACAGCAATTGTTTCCTAATAATCAATTGCATTGCAAATTACAATGAATCTGGTTCACACCCCCTCATACCACTACTTAGGTTTTTTAATTTAATTAAACAAATGATTACTATTTTTAAGCACATTGTTATTTGAGAGTTCATAATATAATTCAGGAAAGAAAAAAAATCACCCCTTTATAAATTCGAGGCATAGAAAACAGGAAGAAAACATTCTGTATATATTAAAGACAGTCAACTCTCCAGGTCATCTGAGATCTCAGAGAAACTGCAGATCTCACTTTTGTAGAATGTTACTTATGCTGAAGAGACACCACTCTTTCAATATTACTCTGAGAGTCTCACACTTAAGTGAAATGATCATCATTCTCAGTAGGCAATCTAATCTTACTGGACTCTGAAATCACTTTGCCTGGATTCATACCACAGTTCAACATGTTACTAACAGGATAAACTTGAGCAAGTTACTTAACCTTTATGTATTTCAGTTTCCTCCCTTATAGAAGATGAATAGTAACAGTCTGCCTCAGAGCTTTAAAAGTAAATGTATTATACATCCGAAGAACCAAGCACAGTAAGGAGTCAACAAATGTTTACTACAATTAATGTGCTAAAAATGACCTAGTATGACTCACATAAGTCAACGAAGATTTGATTTCTTCAACAAGAATTGAAAAGCATATTTATTTTAGAAACAGCTTTCGTGGGTCCACAATACTGTCTTAAAATGCAACTTTTTCTCTTCGTTTATTAATTGAAAAATAATCACACTCAATTGAGATTATAAATATTTGAAATGCCCTAAAAATAAGTAGTAGTTGCCACAGGAAAAATCGTTAACTATAAATCCTACTCATCTAAAAAGTGGAGAGCATAAAGGAGAAACTTTTTTTCTTTATAAAAGTATTTATAGCTTTGTAAACAGCTATGAACGTAACTCCAGGTATGGACCAAATGTTCTAGCAAAAAAGGACCTTGTAAAAGAAAAAAATCATTTATCTTACACATAAAGTTATTTGAAAGTCTATCATGTTTCTGAAGTTGTTTGGTCAACTTTACAGTCACAATAGGAGAGTTTGGATTAAATATGAGAATACACGGAGTTACAAAGAGGGAGAGCTGAGATATCTGAAGAGAAGAAAAATGTGCTTTATTATATGTATCAGAAAAAACATAAAAATCTCTATCCCTAAGACTTTCCTCCTTCTCCTCAAATTTTGGGTGAAAAAACAAGCCATCTACCCAACTAGCTACTCAACCCATTAGATCTCTGAACAATACAATTCATGTAGACAACTCCTTGCTTCAAAGCAGAAAGTCCATCCTATAGAAAGTAAAAAATAAGTGCAGCCTTTTATTTAAAAAAAGAACAACATCAGGAATACCAAGAGCAAAGTTTGGCAGAAAATTACTTTCCACAATGGCTGAAGTATAACTATTTTTTATTTGGAACTCTACAGGTCAGTACTTGAGTCAATGGTTTTCTATTAATTCAGTTTATAGCTAATGTACTGAGAGATAATGATCTGAAATACTTGCACCCAAAATAGACTCACAATCTATTATTCCAATTCCCTCTATAACCACTTTTTCACCCACCATACAAAGTTCTCCAGCGGAACCTGCATATTTGCAAAGCGTTCTCCTGATGTTGACATTGCATTACAAACGACTGAGAAAAATTTCAGAAACAACTTGGAAAGAGAACAGAAGCATTTTTACTCATGTTTTCCTTTTCAACTTATCTATATGTAAATGGTGATAATCAGTAACTATTTACTAAGGTTTCAAAAAAGTGATTGGCACATATAGTCCTCAGCAAGATTTAAGGGACAAGGTATAATTTGAGAACATAAGGTATAACGGAAAGTTCCCAAGAGTTCATGCCATAACATGACATATGACAAGAGATTCTCAAGAGAGAGAAATATTCTATTGCTCTCCATAAAAAATGGGAGCATGGTCATCAGCAGTGGCTTTGAGCCTAGATGGAAACAAAATTATAATTTTCATCTATACCCCCTTAATGGCTTCCCATATTCACCACCCCCATTCTTTCATTCATCTAGCCAATTTGAAAGATGAGATAAGAGTAAGAAGAGAGAAACTGAATGAGAATGAATTTCAACAGGTGAGGGTGCAGCACACAAGTTATTTTCAGGAACTCATGCTATTATATTTTTGAAAAAGTTAAGTGAACAGCCAAATGCTATGCTTTATCAGAAAGGAGCTAGGAATTCAAACTTCATAGAAAAATTTAAATTCATTGGGAAAAAACCTTGACATTAATGAAAAAAGTATATAATATTATAGTCATCAATGCTTATAAACACAATGACCCCATTTGACACATTTTTACTTCTCTCATTTTAGATCTCCACCAAACTCTAAGTCACATTCAATCATGGAAATGGCTTAATAATCAGGGGCTTAAAACTTGGAGTGTTTATTACGGAAGTGACCAGTATATAATCACTAATCATTACCATATAAAATTACAATCCTTTTCATTATCATGCAATGTTAAGTGGGAAACGTTCAAGAAAAATATTCTAGAAATATGTTTTCTTGCGTAAATATTCCTGTTACAAATGTGTGCCAAAGACTACTATAAAACTAAAATTTATTTTTCTCATCTAAGTAATCTCAATGTTTAAAATTCTATTGTCTAACAATTGAAGTGTATACTTTGTCTAGATTCTCTCTCAGAAAAAAACCTGCATAACGACACTTTCTGAGACACAAGGAATTCAAAATGAACTGAATATTATATGACTCCAAAGAATTACAGCTTATGTATTAGGTGTGATAATGGCACAGGGCCATGTCAAAAGTGTTCATAATTTAAAAATATATATACCAAAGTATGAATAGCTGAAATGAGATTTGCTTTAAAATATTTTAGACAAGAATTGAATCTGACAATTCAAATAATTGACAATTTGACAATTATTGAATCTGAGTAATGGGTTTCTGGAGGTTCGTGTATTATTTTTCAGAGTTTTGTGTAAGTTTGAAATGTTTTGTAATAATTTTTTAAATACTTAAAAACATTATATTGTTTAGATACACTCATAAAGAACTCTGGCAGGCAGGGAAAAACGTTTATATTTAAAATTTAAATTTTAAATTGAAGTGCAATATTTAAAATTTGAATTTTAAATTTAAAAACTGAAGTGCAAAAATTATGAAACTGACATTTTAAAATCTATTCTTCTATACAGCGAATCTGGATTTCATCTAATTTAAGAAAAAGCTTTAATGAAGACCCTATTAAAAAGGCTGTATCAAATGAGGACTTACAATGCTTTATTCCAAAGCAACAAAATATGCATATGCCCAAAAGATGTATAAAAACAGGCGTGCATTTAGCAAAAAAGAAAAAAAAAGCAGTCTTTTCTTTGCTACAAATGTTTAAAACTCACAGTATAGTCTTTCTATCTCAAAAACTTAAAAATTATTTTCCTTCTTTAGGGAAAACCATATGATGAGAAAACAACTCAGTAACATGTCTGTGAATAATGCCTAGCAAAGCTTTAAAAAAAAAAAAGCTTCAGCCAAAAAGACTAAGAGGGAAAAATGAACATTTTCAGAAGCATTTTGGAAACCTTATTTCCAGCTACCTTCATGCTAAGCCCTCTTTTTCCTCCCAAAATACGTCACTTAACTGTCTGTCAAATAACTCTTGCCCATTCTACCTGATCACACTCTGAAGCTGCAGCTTTTCCTGCATTCGCTTCTCAGTGACAAGCTGTTCAAACAGAGAACACCTATCAAAATGTATCATCATCTGCTCCTTTCTTTCTTCGTTTCAGGATATACTGCTGTCCATCAGGGGAAGTAATTAATGGGTTTTTAATGTACAGAAGCGTCATCCCATCAGTTTGCTGTCTGGTTTGAATAGCTCCTATCAGCTCTTCATTCATGCCAAGTACGTTCACCGGACAGAGAAATGATAAAGCCATACCTCCTTTTGGATTTTTACCTCACTATTCAAAAAACAGTGCACCAGAAGCATGGGTTACAAAAGCACAAGGAGGACGGAACAAATGCCTTCATCCTCTACAGAAAGGAAGCTAATGGAATGAAAAGTTGGTAAGCAGAAAGGAAAGCAAGTGAGTACAAGAACATTCATGCTTCTAGTCCAGATAATGTGTTTTAAAACAGCTTGATTTGGAAGTGTGTGTAATTCTGAAATACGAACAAGCAGAACTTTTCCAGGAGGTAAAATGTACATAGGAACAACCAGGATTTCTCATTGCTGAAGCATTCAATGAATCTTTAATAAGTTCTGAACACTCAAATTGTCTGCGGTCAGATCAACTGCTGTTATCAGATAAAGGCAAAACTCACCCTTCTGCTTCTATAATCCTATCCAAATAGAGTCTTCATGTACCGCATACTATCCTAACTAATGCTACAGGATTATCAGGAATACAGATATAAAGACACTGCAAGAAATAAAATACTGGCAAAAGAAAACATGAAAGGAAAGTAGAGAATTAATTTCAGGTCTCGAAGCTTACTATTTCCAGCCAGAGTTCAAATTACTGAGCTTCAAACAAACCACTGCCAGGTAAGATTCAATTTTATAACCTTAATTTATATCTTGTCTACTGGAATTAAATCTGCTCGTGCTGTGAATGAACTAGTGGATTTGAATTTCATGCAACCCTTTCCTTAAGCTTTTGCAGATTTAAGCTGAGGTAAACACTTGTTTTTACTTATGCTGCATAAACAAGTCACTCATAGATAATAAAGCATCTAAAACTCCCATTCATTTTTCATTGAATTTGTCTCATCTTTGTCTTTATTTTTCATCCCAATTTTGTTTTATTTAATAGCTTAAAAAATGCATGAAGAGAGCCCTGAATGGTGCATAAGGTCCATTCACAGACATTGTTTACCAACAATATTCAAATGAACTTTGCTTCCTAGAGTACTTGATGAAAGAAAAATTAATAAGTATTTTAAATATTTCTCTTCATACAAAGGAACAAAAGCTCAATGACTGATTTCTATTGTTAGCAAGAAAAAAAGCTGTGATGTCATTTCATTCATACTAAAGAAAAATAATCTCTACTAAATTAAGGTATGTAACACTCTTGTAGGATGGGGCTAATTTATCCTGAAGATACCAGACAATTTTATAACAGACTAAATGAAGACATTTTTCTGATTTAACAAGAGGACAAAAGGATAAAAGATGTCTGGTACCTTAAAACCTCAAAGCTTTGACTCAGGTCAATGGTCCAAACTATAAAATGCAAAGCACTAGTGAAGCCATCAAAGAATTTTAAAAGATACAGTGCCTTTTAGAAATTCCCTAGAAATCACTGCATAAGGAGACTTCTAGAGAGACAATCTATGTAAAAATAACAGAAACGAATCATCTGATCTTCTTCATCTGATACTTTAATTTGCTACATAGATTTTATTTTAGCAGAAATCCCAACCACATTGGTTTTCATATAAGTTTCTTTGGAAAAGTGAGGTCCAAAGAACCTTATAAAGAAGCCCTACAACAAATAATCCTATTTCTATTTTCTTGGAAGGGAGGAGACAGGGAAACAAGAGCAAATCACACCTAACTATGGAGATCTTGTGATAATACACATAAAGTTATCAGAAGTAAGTATTCAATACTTGTCTAAAAGTAGTCAAATTTGAAACTGTCTTCCATTTCACTGAATTCTTTCATCAAATTTTAGTTAAGGGAGTAAATTATATGATTCCCTCACGCTTTCCAAGACAGTGTATAAATAACCTTAAATATCGTAAGTCTGTTGGATCTGAAGTCGTTACAGAAACGTACCTGTCATTTTCTAGTAACAAAGGAAAACAGCAATTTAATACAAGTAGTGAGTATCTAATATACCAATTTGTTTCAGAGAAAAAAGTGTTTATTTAGAAATCTCAAACTACTTCATATGTACACCAGACATAACTAAAAGTTAAGTAGTTGTTGTTTACCTACACTAAGAAATAGCTGAACCCTTAAGGGTTCTTTCATCTGTTTCCTCCTTATTATATTACAGTTTGTAAACAGTCATGAGTCAAAAAATGCAGATATTTTAAATGAAGAATACTAATCAATATTTTAAATTGTAATTAAATATTTTTAATTAATTTGGACACAAGTATGAAATTTATATTATGCTCAAACAATCTGCTTCCAATAAACAGAATTAAAGGGGGAAAATAACAATATTCCTTAAGTGTTCTGGATTTTATTTACTCATTGTAATGTAAACAGAGACTCACATCCCACTAATCTGGGGGCTTGCTTTCTATAACTCACCTTCTAATGACAACGGATGGGCAAATGAATATTACCTCACTCCACCCCAATCTGGTCCTTGTCAGCATCAATCCCAGTGAATTGTCACTTTCTTTCCTATCCAAGTCAAGGCTCTGCTCTATAATAACCCATTTAGAAAAGTGATTATTGAAGTTTTAACAACAGCTTTCAAAAAAAAATACCCTACAGCAATTTGGAATAATCGATATTTTCTTCACATAGGGTGAAAAAAAATTGAAAACTGCTTCAGCTTTACATCTCATGGGTACAAATGGATAAGAAATTTTATGCTAGTACCTGAAGATTTGGTTTATTTACAGGAATTTTTCTCTGGTATTGATAGATTTAACAATTAAAGAGATTTTGAACAGTCCTGGAATGTAGTCAATGACTATTTGTTTCTGCAATTTAGGATGTATTTCATTCATACATATTATATAAAAGTATTGTATTGTAAAAGTAATGTGATTGTGTATTATTGGTTTCTTTCATAGAAATGGAGCAAATATTTTGGCTGCCATATTCTTATAATGATACCTATTACTATATCCTTAAATTCTGGTCATTGTAAATTATCTAAAAGCTGTAAGCTTTTTATTTAAACCATGATAAAATAAATATAGGCCTACAGGACAAAATGAACACATCCATTTTGTGTCTGTTGACATAAAAATCTTAAAAGTAATTTTTGTCTGAAATACCAATTTTATATACAAAATATACAATTTTGTACATAAAATTAGAAACATACCTAAAATCCATTTTTGTGTGTTAGCATTTAACTTAAAGGGACTGATATTACATAATACCTTTTAATGCATTAAATGTATATTTACTTATATCTGTATTATTATAACTTTAAGTTTTCATAAGGAATTTTTTTCATTCTATTATAATGGCACAGTGTTGAAGCTTAATTCAACCAGGCATTTTAACTAGCCAATATATTTGTTCCTTATTATGGTTAATTTTCTTTATGAAGTGACCAAATTTTAGCAAGGATGTAGTTCACCATGAAGATGCATCTCCTCTCCAGCTTCTTCCTGCTGAGAGAGAACAATCTTTGGTTTGTGACATCACAATCTGTGCCTGGGAAAGTGGCTCTGATATCAAACAGATGATTATATCCTTTCAGTGTGAACTAGCTGAAAGAGAGATGTAAGCACCATTATTTCAAGTCATATGACCAAGACACTACGGAGATGCATGACAGGAACTGAATTAGAGAAAGATGCTTTTATTGCATTTGTCACTTTTTCAGCATCAACTATTGAAGATAAAAGTACCATCTCACAGTTGTCTTCATCAATAATTTGAAAGTGGGAGTAAACATCATGTTGGTTAAATTCACAGACCAAGATAAAATGGGAATAAGGAAAATACCAATAAGCAAGCAGACAGTCATGAAAGAGGCCCCTAGAGAAATGAGAAAAAAATGCAAAATTTCACCTTAGTTCAAACTGAGCAAAGATGCTACTCTTACATCTATTGTATAATATAGATATAATATATTTATATTATATATAAACAGAACAGAAATACTGATGCTACTCGGAAAATTGAAAAATTACCGAAACACCCAAAATGGGAAAGATGGTCTCTTTGAATGAGAAAGAGATCCCTTAATATAGATTATCAAGTGATCCCATGACATAGATTAATTCGTATCTGACACATGGACTAGTATAACGGCAGGGAGGGGGCTGGTTAACACCTTTCTAAGAAACCATGAATTTGTTGAGGGAAAAAAAAAAAAGAGAACTCTCTTTAATTAGCGAAACTACTGTGTTCTTTGAAAGTCTTCAACAAATATTTGTAAAAAATAAATCAGGAGTTAGGGTTCAATAAAGGAAACAAAAATGAGAGCCCCTCTTACAAACACATAGGCATATACAGGCCTCTTACAAACACATAGGCATATACAGGCCTCTTTTTGTAATCTTTGCTTGCAACTGTAGCCAAAGGACAAAGCAGACCTACAAATCCTTCCACAGTGAACACATGTGCAGTCTGTCCTTTGATTAGTGGCAATACCCTGATTCAAAGTATCAGTCATTTGTGATTGACCCTCCTAGACTCAGAGCCAATACAAAGATGATGTGTAAAAAGTACAGTAACAACTCCACGCATAATTACAAGTCAAGCTGAAGTCTCATCATCTATAGTTAAACAGATTGCTTGATCCAGTGGTGTGTAGAGAATTCTTATGAACTGGTTCATTACAGCCACTGGATTATTCAACAGTTGTTTAAAGATGCTGACATTCTCCATTTTTCATATTGAAATTATTAGTGAAATAACTCAAGAATATGGACCAATCAAAAAACATCACTTTTATAGACATATTGTTTGATGTCACACTGTTGTTGTCATCTTCAGACTATGTGGGCCTTCTTATTTCCTGATTATCACTACAGAAATGTAGCACTGAATAATGTGTTCTTTAAGAAGCAAAAGCTAGAAATGATTTCCAGTTCAGTTATCAACTAAAAATCCTTAGCTATTTATAGAATTTTTGGTACAGTAACCTAGAAAGCTGTTGGTGTACATTTATCAGGCTCAGTATATAACATGGTACAACTCCTAACATTTAATATTTCATCAACTGTATACCTTCCCTTCATATGTGTTGCAAGGACACAGCCCTCTACATGTAGTATCTTGTGCATAACTTGTGCTAATACCAACAGAAGAGCTATTCATGCCTAGGAACTTCCACAACACTTTGAGGATACTTCTTTTATAACACCTTGTTAGATTGCACCGAAAACCTATTTATGGCCAAGGATAGCGACTCATACCTGTAATCCCAGTGCTTTGGGAGGCCAAAGCAGGAGGACTGCTTGAGGCCAGGAGTTCGAGAACCACCTAGGCAACATAGCAAGACTTCACCTCTATAAAAAATTTAAAAGTTAAAAAAAATAAGAAAATCTATTTAATATAGTTGTCTCACATATGAAATTGCATTTTTCATGGTTGAGGGCCTTAAGAATAAAGACCACACCTAATTTATCTGTCTATTCCCAAGGTAAATTCAGCACTAGTTAATCAATAGATGTGTTAAATGAATGTGAACATGTATCTTACTTAATACATTCTCAGGTACAATCTCAAACAGGCAGAAGACTAGTGATCCTAAAATACACCTCAGCTATATTTCACTGATAATGGGCAAGTAGGTAACTCAGAAAAATCTAATCAAGGAGCCTTTTAAAGTAATTTACACTGAAATAATAGCTGTAAGGAGATAATATCTGTTAGGGATATTATATAAT